CCCAGCAGATCTCAGAGATGGGAGGTTGTCTCAAACGCTTGGCCCAGCACCTCCCCTGCAAGCTCGCTAAAGTGACTGACAACCCTGACACAGAGTCCCCAATCCCACAGCCCATTGATAATTCTTAGATGGGCTAAGTGTACTTCCAGAATATTCCCCTCTAGATACAAAAATACATACCTCATTTTTGTTCATTGAAAGGAGATCCTGTCGGGCCTCCCCGGTGGTGCAGCGGTTGAGCGCTGGGCTGTGAAGCTGCCCGCAGCCTCTGCAGCTCCGGTTCGATCCCTGGCCACCGGCAAGGGTCCCACATGGCGTGCAGACCTCTCCTGCCGCCCGCTGCTCCCCTCAGCAGTGTACTTCGGTCCCTCTGCCTGTTCTGCTCCCCACTCTGGCTCTGGTGAATTCTCTCACCCTCCCGCACTTCTGACTGTACCCAGTGCTTGTATAAATAAATAAATAAATCTTTAAAAAAAAAAAAAAAAAAGAAAAAGGAAGGAGATCCTGTCACAGTACAGAATGTTCTGCTGCTTTAATTTTTCAGTTATGGTCCCAGGCAGCTGTCCATCCGGGTCCATCCACAGGATCTACCTACACTTTTTTTTTCTTCAAAGATTTATTTCTGTATGCATACAAGAGCTGAGTGTAGGCCAGAGGTGTGGGAGGGTGAAAGGATTCACCAGAGACAGAGTAGGGAGCAGAACAGGCAGATCTACTGAAATACACTGCTGAGGGGAGCAGCGGGCGAGTCAGGAGAGGTCTGTTGCGCCATGTGGGTAGCTCCCTGTCCGGGGATCGAACTCCTGCTGCAGTGGCTGCGGATAGCTTCATAGGTTGCATCTTAAGCCCTTGTGCCACCGGGGAGGCCCCCACTTTCATTTTTTAAAGACTCAGTGTTTCATGGTTTCTCAACTACTCTTGGGTTGAACACAGGTGGTTTTAGTTTTTCATTATAATTAGCAGCCCACTCAAGGAAGGCTGGTGAAGGCTACTAAAGAAGCATTATTTCAACGTCCTATTTTCAGAGCATGTTCGTTATTATATCACCTGGTTTTCACAGAAACCTCACTGGAGAAGTGAATGCCTCATTTACAACTGGGAAGCCCATTTGTCTGGGGAATCGGGCCTGGCATTGTCCCTGCTGTTTCCATTTGTCCCTACCATTGGAGCAGGACCTGCAAAAGCTGGTGCCTGCAGGGGCCAGGCAGGTGATGCCAGGGTATGAAAGGCCTGAACAAGATGACAAGTGACTCTTGCTTCAGTGTCAAGGTGACAGCAGGGAGCAGGGGACCTGTGAGCCAAAGCCGCTTTTGGCTTTCACACCAGACACCCACCCCTTGACTGGGTGACCCAGGTTGCTGGAGCTTCCGGTCCTCCCAGAGCAGGGAATACAGGTTGGTTTCATGCAGTCCCCCAGATAACAGTATAGCCGAGCAACTCAGCAATATTCAGCTCTCACATGCCAGATGGTGACCCTGCTTCAGGCCCAAACCTAATTTCCTGCCTTTGGGTATAAAACAGGATCAACACAGCAGGCACACAATCAAAGCCCCCAGGCCACGGCTGTCCACCATTCTGAGGTGAAGTCCAGAAAAGACCATTTAATTTTCGGGCCCGTCCTTCTGATTTCCGGGGTCTTTTTGTCTATGTAAATTGCTGGATGCTTGGGTGCCAGGCTGGATGCTTGGGTGCCAGGCCAAGGTTCATCCTCTCCTTTCTCTTTAACCATTTTTTTAAAAAGATTTATTTATTTATTTATGCATACAAGAACTGGGGTACAGGCCAGAGGTTCGGGCAGTGAGAGGATTCACCAGAGAGAGTGGAGAGCAGAATAGGCAGATTGACTGAAATACGCTGCTGAGGGGAGCAGCGGGCGAGACAGGAGAGGTCTGCTGTGCCATGTGGGTAGCTCCCTGGCCGGGGATTGAACTCATGCTCCAGTGGCTGTGGATAGCTTTGTAGGTTGCATCTTACTTAACCCCTTGCACCACCAGGAAGGCCCCGCTCTCTTTAACCAAAATGTACCCATTTCTTCAACATTCCCAGTGAGCTTGTGTCTCATCAAGATGGCTGATTCCTGAAAGAGGCATCCAGTTCCCCATCTGCTCTCCTGCTCCTTCCTGGGACAATGTCATGGTTAGGATGCATCTGAGCTCTCAGGTATCCTAGGGGGAATCTCACCAGCGGCAAAATAAGTTCCTCTGTCCAAGGGGCACCTTCTATTTTGACTCCAGTGCTACCCTCTCTCCCCACCTCCCAAGTATTTCCTCTACTTCCCTTCCCCACCCCTTAATTAAAAAACAAAATCAGACAAAATGAACCAATTAATAGTGAACAGTTTGGTGGCAGTTACTCATTCACCTCTGCCTGGCTCCAGGGTAAGCAGCCTTGGTCTGTATTCTGTCTCTATGAATTTTGCTTTCTTGATATTTCGCTTAAATGGAATATACCATTAAAAAAGGTAGAGACCTCCTAGAGTCACAGTGCTTGGGGTCTGTCCCTGTTCTGTCTCCAGGTAGCTCTACCTCTCAGTGCCTCTGTTTCTTTATCTGTAAACCGGGGGAAATGCTCAGCACAGGGGAGGTTGGTTGGTGGGAGGCTGTTGCTCACCTCTCACTTGCTCCTGGTAGTAAGACAAACTGCAGACTTGCTCCAGAGGAACATGACCTTGACCTAGCTGGGTGCAGTAGCTGAATCCCGGGAAACATGCACAGAAATTAAATTTTTAAAGGAGACAGAGGTGCTCTGCTACCTGAAACAGGCCAGTGTGGGCACATTCCTGCTGCTGAGTCTGGGTCAGAGGAAGCCTTTCTCCTGTGAAGTTTTGAGGCCATTTGTGCTCCCAGGTATCTGAAAAGGATGGTCCTGACTCCTTTGGGGCTCAGAGGCAGGCTGCCCACTTCCTTCCCTTCCTGCCCCAGCCTCGGGGCAAACTCATGTCTGGACTGTTGAGTGGGGAGAACCTGCCCACTCTTCACTCTCCCCATGGTCCCAACTTCTTCCCCTCTGCCGGTAAACTTCATCGCAGGATGCCCCTGAGATGAGAAGAACATCCCAGCCAGCTTGCCTGTTCCAGCAGCCCCCAACTGGCCACTGAACCTTCTGTCCCCCTCCCTTTCCCAGCTTCCTGTACTGCAAAGAGCACTCCCGCCCTCCCCTGGAGTGCTGGTGGTCCTATCTAGTCCCCTCTCCCTCTGCTGAGCCATGACCCTGGGGTGTGGGCCTGGAGCTGGCTATGTGCCCCCAGACTCCTGGACTGACTCTCCTTCTGCTCACAGTGAACAGGTCCTGTCTGACTGTGCTCCATTTCCCCGGGAAGGAAGAAGGGCTGGATGGACAGGGCAGGGCGTGGCTGATGGACTGCTCGGCCTGCAGCAATTGCTTTAAATTTCACAAACTCACATTCCTCTCTTCTCCCACTCATTCATTCAAGATATTTATTGTGTGGCTAGTGTGTCCAGAGGGTACCTGCCTGCACCTAGAAGGGGAAAGCAGATCTTCAGCATGTAACCTCACTAATGAATATAAAGTTATAGAAAGAAATCACATTTCAGAATGGAATGGAATTCTCTATGAGAGGACAATATTGGCTGATTCAACCAATCTTGAACTTCACCAGGCACAGTGTCATAGGGAGAAGGAAAGAGACTAAGATGTACAGGGAGGGCCTCCCTGGTGGCGCAGGGGTTAGGTCACAGCACTCTGAAGCTATCGGCAGCCACTTGCAGCAGAAGTTCGATCCCTGGCCAGGGAGCTGGCTCGCAGGGTGCAGCAGACCTCTCCTGTCTCGCCCACTGCTCCCCTCAGTAGTGTATTTCAGTCGATCTGCCTCTTCTGCTCCCCATTCTATCTTCAGGGAATCCTCTCACCCTGCGCACCTCCCTCTGGCCTGTACCCCAGTTCTTCTATGTAAAAATAAATAAAATCTTTATATATAAAAAAAAACAAAGACCGTGTCTCCAGCTACTTACTGTCACATTCTAGGTCCTGGGGGTTAAGACATCAGCAGATGAAGCGGGAAGGGACAGAATTCCGCTCATAACATGGAGGGTGATGGTGATCGACGTGCAAATTTGTAACTGCACCAAAAAACCAGCATGCACTCTGAAAGGAGGAGCCTGGTATGCAGAGAAGGAGAGAAAAGGGGGTGAAGTGAATGGTGGGGTTGGCAGGGGCCCCATCATCCAGGCCTCAATCCCCAATGCCTCACGCGACTGCCCCCTCACTCAAAGCCTCTCTACAGTGTCTGCACTTAATGTTCATTATTAGGGACCTTTTCAAACTGGGATGGACCGTGGTTGGAATTGGGGCGCATTTTTAAACCTTCAAGGGCCAATTTCTGGCAGACAGACACATGGACACCGGTTTCCCGCGTGCCAGACACAGCTCTGGCCCTGTCCAAGAGAAGCCTAGCGGTGCCGTGAGATGAGATGGTGCCATCACTCTCACCACAAGTCACACTGTCCACAAAGCTAATGAGCAGTAGAGCTGGGATTTGAACCCTGGCGGCCTGACTGCAGTGGCCATGATGTTACCCCCATGTGTGTTGCTTCAGACAATCCCAGTGTCGCTTCTACCCAGTTACTATGCTCGTTTCACAGAAAAGGAAACAGACGAGGAATGGACTTGTGTCCCGATGAGAGGCCCCAGTGCCCAGGAACAAAGCCATGTGGGGCAGGGGCTCATTGTGTGGGGAGAAGCAGAGCTCAGGCTGGCACGGGGCCCAGTCCCCTGAGACCGATCTGTGTCCAGCCTCATCCGTGCATCCTCCCAGCTCTCAGCCCAGCCCTGGAGGTGGCTCCTTGGCCAGGCTGCCAGAAGGACCTGCCTTGCCAGGGTGACCAGGGCCAGAGTCAGAGGTGCTGAAGCAATGTCCAAAGGGTGTCCCGGGCGGACAGGGCGCCTGCATCCCTGGGTAGCCACCTCTCTGCTTGGAGGTGGGTGGGGCAGAGGCCCGTGTACATGACCTTGCAGCTGACATTCCTCGGTGGCCACGTGGCCCCAACTGGCAGGGACAGCTGCAGACAGGGGCTGAACCGGCTTTGTTCCCAGGGTGGCGCCTGCTCTCCATCCAGGCCTGCTCCAACGCTGCTTTCCTTCCCGGGGCTGGCACGGTGGGTCCCTGGCCATGAGCGCCTAGAGGCACGGAGCCACCAGGGTCTCTCCGCGTAGCGCGTGGGCCTGGGAGGATGGGTCAGGACCAGACCAAGCAGCAGATTGAGAAGGGGCTCCAGCTGTACCAGTCTAACCAGACAGAGAAGGCGCTGCAGGTGTGGATGAAGGTGCTGGAAAAGAGCGGGGACCTCGTGGGCCGCTTTCGAGTGCTCGGCTGCCTGGTCACGGCCCATTCGGAAATGGGCCGCTACAAGGAGATGCTGAAGGTGGGGTACTCAGCCGGCCGGGGCTGAATTTCTCCTAGACTTCCTGGCCTCTCCCCTGCCTCCTTCGGCTCCCCTGTGTCTCACAGGCTAGTGGCTGGGGCCTGAGCCTCTGAATCTGCATTAAGGTCTTGGGCATTAGGTTTGGGCCTGTAGCCTTGAACTTTAGTGTCTGAGACTCAGACTGAGGTTTACAGGCCTCAGGATTCGGGGAGCTCAAGGCCAGGTTTCTAATTGTAGGTTTCAACCTTACTGTTTGGGGTTCTGAGCCTGAGCCTGGGAGTTTGTGGGCTCCTGACTGGAGGCTGGGGGTGGGTGGGGGCTAGAGGCTGAAAATCTAGGCTGGGGTGGAAGGGTGAGGCTCAGAGTCCAGGCTGACAGCCACCTGTCCCCCACCCCCTGGGCAGTTTGCCGTGGTGCAGATCGACACAGCTCGGGAGCTGGAGGATGCTGACTTCCTCCTGGAGAGCTACCTGAACCTGGCACGTAGCAACGAGAAGCTGTGCGAGTTTCACAAAACCATCTCCTACTGCAAGACTTGCCTTGGCCTGCCTGGCACCAGGGCTGGCGCCCAACTGGGAGGCCAGGTTAGCCTGAGCATGGGCAATGCCTTCCTGGGCCTCAGCCTCTTTCAGAAGGCCCTGGAGAGCTTCGAGAAGGCCCTGCGCTACGCTCACAACAACGATGACGCCATGCTGGAGTGCCGAGTCTGCTGCAGCCTGGGCAGCTTCTATGCCCAGGTCAAGGTGGGCCAGGGCCTGAGGGGTGGGGGGAAAAGGAGGACCCCCTCCTACCTCACCTCGTTCAGTCCTCCCATTACCCAAGGTGAAGACTTGGCCAGGAAGGGCAGCGCCAGAATTTAAGCCTCCATCTCTCTGAGTTCTGGGTCTGAGTTCTGGGGCATTGGGACTCTCCTGACTCCCACGGTGGGGACAGACTGACCTGTACTACCACGTGCTTGCTGTGTGATGAGGGGCAAGTCTCCTCTCTGAACCTTGGTAGGTATAGTTATAAATGAGGGCGTATAGGCCCCACCCTACAACAAAGTTGTGAAGATTCATGCATCCAGTATTTATTGAGACTCTGCTCTATCCCTGGAACTACTGGGCTGGGGCGCAGATGTGAAAACAATTGCCAAGTCCCTGGCCTCATGAAGCTTGCATGCATTGGGGGAGAAAGACAAACAATCTGTTAGTCAGTTACATAGCAGGCCAGAAGTTTTGAGGAGAAAGCAAGAAGGACAAGGCTTGGGAAGTCGGGATTTCAAAAGGGTGATCAGAACACCTCCCACAGGGGATGTGTGAGGACTCGAAGCAGACAAGGTGAGCCGGGCAGAAATCAGGCAAAAGAGCGAAAAAGAGGAAACAACTGACGCTAAGCTCTGCCCTGCCAGGAGCTTCCTGGCACGTTCCAGAAAGGATGGAGACAGGCCTGGGTACAGCAGGTGTATAAGAAGGAGGTGGAAGCTGAGGGGTCTGAGAGGTAAGGGTGGCGGGGAGGAGGCAGTGTGGGCTGAGTGAAGGCACCTGCGAACTCTGAGGGCCGATTCCTCTTCCCTTTAGGCACCAGGCTTGCTTGGCCCATGGGGGTGGGGATTTGTGCCTCTCACAGAGATGCTCAGTGAACCTGGGGGCGAATGAGTGTGTAAACAGTGACAGCTCAGAGGTGAGTGTGAGGAAATGAGAGTTTGCCAGGATCACACAGAGGATTTCACTCTCAGCAAATACAGAGATGAGCCATGCAAGTGAGATGCGACAGCACCGGGGTGGGACAGGGTGTTATAAAACATTTTTTTTTAACATTTTTTTTTAATAGAGGCATGTTTTATTTATTTATTTGTTTGTTTGTTTGTTTTGTTTTGTTTATACAAGCACTGGGGACAGTCAGAAGCGCGGGAGGGTGAGAGAATTCACCAGAGCCAGAGCGGGGAGCAGAGCAGGCAGAAGGACCGAAGTACACTGCTGAGGGGAGCAGCGGGCGGCAGGAGAGGTCTGCGCCATGTGGGACCCTCCTCCGGTGGCCGGGGAGCAGCCGGGGATCGAACCGGGGCCGCAGAGGCTGCGGGCAGCTTCGCAACCCAGCGCTCAACCGCTGCGCCACCGGGGAGGCCCAAAACATTTTCTTTTTTAATGAGAAGTAGAGAAAATGAAATACAGTGAATCTCCATATACCCACCGCCTTAGATTAAATAATCATTAATATTTTGCCCAGTTTGACTTACATATTTTTAACTGAAGCCTTGTGATATAAAATGACAAGCATCGTGATATTTTACCCTTAACTAGTTCCCTAGGCATTTCCGGGGGGAAAGGAACGCCTTATATGAGGCTACTCTCTTGCAGAAGCACAATACTATTATCACACACACACCATTAAGTGCAATTAGCACTTAACATTTTTCTCCTTATCCTGAAAATTCATCTCTATCCTCAGCTTCTTGGAACTGGCACACAAGCAAGAACCGCTCGCAGTCATGGTTATTGTCTCTTAAGCTCTTTCAATAGAGCGTTCCCACCCTCCTCTTCATTTCCCATGATTTATTATTGTTAATTTATTTATTTTTAAAGATTTTTATTTATTTATGCATACAAGAGCTGGGGCACAGGCCAGGAGTGTGGGGGTGCGGTGAGAGGACTCACCAGAGACAAAAGCGGGGAGCAGAACAGGCAGACTGACTGAAATACACTGCTGAGGGGCGCAGCGGGCGAGACAGGAGAGGGCTGCTGCGCCATGTAGGTTGCCTGTGGGTTGCTCCCTGGCCTGCTGGGGATCGAATTCATGCTGCAGAGCCTGCAGATTGCTTGATTGCTTCATAGGGCAGTGCCAGGGAGGCTCCTCCCATGATTTATTGCAGAAGCCAGATAACTTGTTGGTAGAGTGTTCCATCTTGTCTCATTGCTTCCTTAAGGAGTCACCGGACTGTTTTTGTTTTTTAATCTCCATTACTCCCTACAAACTGGAACTCAGACCTGCCTTGGTAAGATTAAGCTGCACATTTTTGCGAAGGATGCTGTACAGTGAAGCCAACTACCTCATCTGACATCCTGTCGCTGGTGGAAGAGTGAAAGCCTGAGCTCTCTGTCTTAGGGTTTGCCTTTTCTTTTTCTTTCTTTCTTTTTTTAAGATTTATTTTATTTATTTATCCATACAAGAGCTGGGGTGCAGGTCAGAAGTGTGTGGGGGGTGAGAGGATTCTCCAGAGACAGAGTAGGGAGCAGAAACAGGCAGATCTACTGAAATGCACTGCTGAGGGGAGCAGCGGGCGAGACAGGAGAGGTCTGCTGTGCCTGTGGGTCAGCTCCCTGGCTGGAGATTGAACTTGTGCTGCAGTGGCTGCCAATAGCTTCATATTGCTGAGACTTAACCCCCCACCCCACCCCTTGCACCACCAGGGAGGCTCCAGGGTTTGCCTTTTCCTGTCCTCTGTGGCAGGTTTACCCATGGACCACCACTTTGGTTCCCTGAGACTTTTTCTTTTTAAGATTTCTTTATTATTTATGCATACAAGAACTGGGGTACAGGCTAGAGGTGTGGGGGGTAAGAGGAATCACCAGAGACAGAGTGGGGAACAGAACAGTCATATTTACTGAAATACACTGCTGAGGGGAATCAGCGGGAGAAGCAGGAGAGGTCTGCTGTGCCATGTGGGTAGCTCCCTGTCTGGGGATTGAACTCGTGATGCAGTGGCTGCAGATAGCTTCATAGGTTGTGTCTTAAGCCCTTGCGCCACCAGGGAGGCCCCCCGAGACTGTTTATTCTGCAACTACATCTTCCCTAATGGTTTAGGCAAATCCATTGATATTTGTTGCCTGAATCAATTCTTTCATGTCCACTCTGCTGAAATGGAGATTTCCAAGTCTCATCATCCCTTCTATAATCATTAGCTGGCATTTTTCTTCCATAAGGAAGAACTTACCTTATGGGTAAGGGGTGGGGGTGCTTATCGGTTACCCTGAAAGACAGCACCTAAAGGAAATGCAGAATGAACACTTTTCCTCTTTCCTTTAATTACCACTTTTCAGAATAAGGAGCTGATGTAATAGCTGCTGTCAGTGGTCACAAGTTTTGCTTGCTCTTTTTTGGAGCACCATTGTCACACCGTGGATTTTGTAAGCACTCAGTATTCTTCAGTCTAGCGCAATCATTGTTCTTTTTGATGCTATTATCTTCACTTTAACACATGGAGCTCCACTTTTGTGTCTTTTAACTAGACTTCATTTACGCTTTGAAAGCTTTCTTGTTGTCTGCCACTACTAGTAAATAGTCCCAGGCTCGTCTTACATTTTTCCTGTCCAGGCCCGGAATCAGCCACGTCTCTGATTTTTTTTTTTTTTTTTTAAGTAGGAAATGGTATTGAAAGACCAAATGTGAACCCCCAGGGAGCTCATGGCTGTTGAGTTGTCTTTGCTTCTAGATCTTTTCAGTTGCCAGCGTAATAGAAATTTTTACTGATATTTCCAACTAAACTAGAATGTTTCAGGATTGTCCTTTATTTCAAACTTGATTTGCTTTTCACTGGTTGAAAAATCTTGATTTCTAACTACATAATTAAATATTTTATCCTTCAAAATATATAAGATAGTTTCAAAAGACAATACCAATATTACTTTTAAAAATGAAATTTAAGATTTCTTTGCTGTTCTTTCTTTTTTAAATTTTTTTTTTACATCATAGTTCATTTTTAAACAACATTTGCTTTCCCCCACCCTCCTCAGGTGTAGTCCCCATAGAATTCCCTTCACCAATGCACCCGTGCTCTTTGCTGTCCTTTCTGTCTTCATAATATACCCTGCCATGGATGAAATGTCCACATGTATGTTCTAAGATCATTTGAAATAATTATCTTTCCGTATGTTTATATTAATATATAGTGCAATACAATGCAACATATTATAGCATGTAAGTTACATATATGCATATAATACTAAATTATAGCATAATTATAAATATATTCTGATGCTTGATTATATTTATATATTTATTCTAATTTATATTATTTATTTATATTAATTATTTATATATTTATTTTATTTATTTAATTGTAATTTTGAATTTATATGTTCATTATGCTTTTGCTTATATTTATATATTTTTATTTATTGTATATTACATATCTCTTATATATTTTATTTAATATATATTTATCACAATCACATTTTATTTTAATTAGTCATATTTATATTATATTGATTATATTTATTTATTTTAATTAAAATTTAATAATTATAACACAGTGTTATGTTACTTATATTTATTATAATTAACTATATATTAATTATATTTTATTTATTATAATTAATTTAATCTATATTTATTATGATTGAATATATTATATGTTCATCTTATTTATGGTGTATTTATACACAATATGTATTGTGTATTATTTTTGTATGGATAGTATATTATATAGTTATAATGATCTCCAGTTAGGATCATTTCTTTCCATTTTCTGTTTTTAGGGTTATTTAGGTTATTTAGGTTAGCATGTAAATGTGGGAAACATTTACATACCTTCAAAATAATAAGAACAAAACAAAAATGGTAGGAACAGGTCTTTGCTGGGATTGTGGAGAGCTCATCTCTAACTTAGAGAGGCTTGTTAGATATTAAGCAAAAGATCAAACAGGTTTTCTACGAGAAAGAACAGAGAAATGAGCTATAGCCAAAGGGGACATGAGGAGAAAAGAAGGTGGTTTGATTTTGATTTTTGTTTTTACTTTTTAAATGAGGTGAGAAGCGCCAGGATGTGTTGCCTGTTGAAGGGAGCCATGCAGGGAGGACTTAACTGGAGGTGGGAGGTGGAGGAGTCTGCCCCAGGGCCCACTAGGTGGGACAGGAGGCCGCGAGTGGGAACAGCTGTGTGCTTGATCTGTGCATTTGATGGGTAGGGTGGATCAGGGAGCTCCTCCCCAATTCTCATTTTTCCCAGTGGATGGTAAACCAGGTCATCAGCAGATTACGGTCAGGTGGGGCCTTCGGAGGTTTGAGGAGAAGGAGGTATTGCAGAGAATGGTGCGTTCCCCGTGGTCTGTCCGATGTCTTTTGGAGCAGGCTCAGTCCCTGAGCCTTCCCTGATCAGCTGCTGTGGGTACCCGCAGGCAACTCTGGTGGGGGTGGATAGCCCCGCTATCCCCCCTCTCTGTATCCCTGCAGCTGAGGGACCCAGCTGGGACAGGGTGTGACAAGAAGTCAACTTTTTTTATTCATTCATTCAACAAATATTTATTGTGCATCTACTGAGGGCCAAGAACTGTGCTGGCTGGTTCTTGGCAGGCCAGGTGAAGCCCTGCATCCCCACACCTTTGTACAGGCTGCTCTCTCCACCCAGATGGCTCCTTCCCCAGTGACCAGAATGAATGAATGAACACAGCTGAATATGCTGGAGCTGGTTGCTGGAGAAGCCAGGCTCTGGGGCCTCCATGTAGGGGCAGCTCCAGCCACTCATTGTGTCCCCCACCCCCCCACCTCATGTCCCCTGCAGGACTACGAGAAAGCCCTGTTCTTCCCCTGCAAAGCAGCGGAGCTCGTCAACGACTATGGCAAAGGCTGGAGCCTCAAGTACCGGGCCATGAGCCAGTACCACATGGCTGTGGCATATCGTCTGCTGGGCCACTTGGGCAGTGCCATGGAGTGTTGTGAGGTGGGGCAGTGGGGAAGGTGGGAGTGGTGAGACTGGTGTGTGGCCAGAGCTTGGGACCAGGATGGCAGGGCTTACTCCTTCCAAATCTGCCCACTGGGGTCCCCAAGGCTTGTCCCTGACCCAGCCTGTCTTTAGCTGTATCCTGGAAGGATCTGCTATTCCTTCACCTTCCTTGCTCCAGTCTTTGGCATTCCACTGGCCTGGGTTCAAATCCCAGCTTTGCAGTTTACTGGCGAGTCACTTCTCGATCGAATCACTTCTGCTTCCTGAGCCTGTTTCCACTTCACTGGGTGCTGTGAGGCCTCAATGATTCCGTGTGGGAGGCCTCAGCACTTTGACAGGTGTATTGGGTTCTGAGGGCGTTGGTGAGCCTTGGGCTGACCCATCAGAGGGGCCCACTGGACAGAGGGTGTCTCAGTGGTGGGGGGACAGAAGCACAGGTCTGAGTGACCGACCTCCCCTGCAGGAGTCCATGAAGATTGCACTGCAGCACGGGGACCGGCCCCTGCAGGCGCTCTGCCTGCTCTGCTTTGCTGACATCCACCGGAGCCGTGGGGACCTGGAGGTAAGGTCACGGGGGTGGGGGGGCGAGCGTGGTGTGGGCCTGACCCAGCCTAACATCACTTCCCCACCTGGCTGTGCAGACAGCTGTTCCCAGGTACGACTCCGCCATGAGCATCATGACTGAGATTGGAAACCGCCTGGGGCAGGTGCAAGTGCTGCTGGGTGTAGCCAAATGCTGGGTGGCCAGGAAAGCACTAGACAAGGTGAGGTCCAGATGGACAATTTCCTTTCCTGCAGTTCCCTGTTTCCCCAGTGTTTCCCATTTGGGGCCAGTCGGTCAGCCAAGAAGCTGGGGGTCTGGCCCTTTCAGACATTTAACATCAGTTTCATCCCAATCCTGTGAAGCTGGGACATTCTTAGTCATTTTCCAGGCTCAGAGAGGGCCTGTGAATTGCCCAAGGACCCACAGCCATGAAATGTGCAGGGCTGGGGTTTGAGCTGAGGTGTCTTAACTGCCTCCCATGGTTTCACAACACCTCTCAAGACAAATATCCTTCCCATTCTGCATCTGACTAAACCGAGGCAGAAGGCTACACCCCCAGTTCCTGCAACTGTGCATGCACAGCAGCTTCCCAGCCAGCTCACCCACCCAGGCACCCTCTCTCGTTCCTTTCCTGGGAGCCAAAGACCTCTGTCAAATAGCTCTGCTTGTAACTCTGGCCTGTGCTCTCCTTCCAGGCTCTGGATGCCATCGAAAGAGCCCAGGACCTGGCCGAGGAGGTGGGGAACAAGGTCAGACCTGATTCTGTATTCTAGGATGAGGTGCATGACCAACTGAAAGGCCAAATATGTTTGATTTTACTCGGTTATAGTCATTCAGGTTTACCCAAGTATCTCAGGCTGATCAGAAATGCAGATGAGGTGTTGTATTTAATTAACAAAACAGGAAAGCAAATTAATTACGATGGAGTCAACGCGGTAGGTCTGGTTAATAAAACCCTCAAAAACATGTGAGGTCCCCAGCTGGTTTTCTGCTACTTCACCCACCCCCTCATTTTGCATGAGGGGAAACCCAAGCCTAGAGGGTCGTTGTTTTTCCTGGGGCCATCCGCAAGGCAGGAAGGGGGCCAGGACAGAACCCCGCGTGTACTGGCAGTGCTGTGGTCCTAAAGGTCAGCTATGCAGGCTGGGCCAGGAGGCAAGCTGGAAAGCTGCTCCCCAACACTAACGTGGTCTTGTCCCTGCACCCCCTCTCTTGCCCGCCGGCCCAGCTGAGTCAGCTCAAGCTGCACTGTCTGAGCGAGAGCATCTATCGCAGCAAGGGGCTGCAGCGAGAGCTGCGGGTCCACGTGGTGCGCTTCCACGAGTGCGTGGAGGAGACGGAGCTCTACTGTGGCCTGTGTGGGGAGTCCATAGGTGAGAGGAACAGCCGGCTGCAGGCCCTGCCTTGCTCACACATCTTCCACCTCAGGTGAGTGTTCCTATGGCAGCGGGGTCACATGGGTCTTTTGGGGGGTACTTCAAGGCCCCAGCTTGCCTCATGACTCTAGCAAAACCAACAACAAGCATTGACAAAATGCTTTTTGCCCCTCTGCCAGTCCTAAGAACTTCCTGTGTGGGAACACACGGAATCTTCCCAGCAGCCTGGGAGGCGGCCATTCTTATTCTTCTCCCCAGAGAGGATTCAGACAGGCCTCTCAAAGGTCCAGCCCTGCTTCCATTCAACCTCCTGATTCCCAGCCCAGGATCTGCCCTGGGAGCCACGGGGGCAGAGTGTGAGGGGCAAGCTGAGCAGGGGCCTGGGGAGTGGCTCCTCCCTTCCAGGGCTGTGGGACACCTTCCCAGTCCTTGCAGAGGGGGGAGGGCAGGGCCCAGGCCCAGCATGGAAGATAGACTCCGGAAGTGGACAGAGCCCTTTGCCTCCCAAGGTGCCTGCAGAACAATGGGACGCGGAGCTGCCCCAACTGCCGCCGTTCATCCATGAAGCCTGGCTTTGTGTGACCTGTCAACAACCTGGGGGCTTCACCTCACCTCCCCACTCCTCCTCTATCTTCACTCTGGAGGGCCCTGACAGGCCTTTCCTTGGATGCCTGTTCACTCTGGGGGCAGTGGTCAGAGCCTCCTCTGGTCTTGGGCACCCTTCCCGCTGTGGTTTCTCTAGGCTCAGCTGCCCTCTCCCATCTCTTTGTACTTTGCTCTTTATAGAAAAATAAACCATTTGTACCTGGTGCCAGTGATTCCGACTTTCAGAGAAAGTGGTCAAGGAGTTACCACCACCACCCATCACAAGTACAGGCTGGAAGCTTTCTAAACATTCCCGTTTATTGGGAACCCCAAATGTATATTCAGAACAGGAGCCCCTGCCCCAAGTGTGATGGGACCAGCACAGACAAGACCTCCCCACATGGGCTTTTTAACTCCTGTCAGGTAATTCTACAAAGCATGAATTTGGGGTCAGCAGCCCCAGTGCTGACACTGATTCACTGAATAATCTTGGACAAGTCACTTGACTCCTGGATTCCCCATGCCTTTATCTAAAATTGAGCATAATTCAATCTGTCCACAGGGCAGGGTTGTTGATAGGATGAAATAAATGCTATTAACTCTAGAGGTGCTTTGTTTGCCTGAGCTAGCAGTTAAAATTAAGTCCTGCTTTTAACATATTCCAAGAAAACCACTGGACATATTTTCACCATGTTTATGGGGTATGTTTGTTATGGTTTGACTTAAGACATAATCTACTTGGTTTATATAAAGTTCATTTTAGGAGGGCCTGGGCCTCATGGAGTGATAAGCAGAGATCCTCGGGAGCAGGGGCGCAGGTATGAGAGTCTCACATGATTCAGAAATACGACCTACTCCCTGGGAGGAAAAGACGTGATCACGTTTTTTGTCAATTGAGCTCTTCCCCACGTGGGCTGTTCCGAGGCACCTGCTCTGAAGTTAGCAGCTCAGCGATCCTCTCCTTAAAATTGGCTAATGATTCTCTCCAGTAACCCATTAGTAAGTAATGATTATAAAAAAGGAGACTGAGGTGCCTTGTCTTTTTTAGCTCTTTGCAATCGGCTCACGCGTGCTGTTAACGGTTAGGAAGGCAGAGCCGTGACACCAACCCCTTAATTCTCACTTGGGCCAGATTCTGAGGTTGATTGGCTGCTTGGAAAGCACCCCTGCAAACACCGGTCAGTTTCAAACTACATTTCCCTGGGGACCTTGCGGCCCGGGGCTTTGCTCCCCCACTTCCGGTTGTGCTGCAGGCCCCGCCCACTGGAGGCGCCGGCCAATAGCGCTTTCGGCTCTCTGGCCCGGCAGGAACAGGACGGGGCGGGTTCTGTGGCCCTGGCCGCGTCTTTAAATTCGAAGAAGCAGATTCGCTCGGTCAGCGGGGCCTGAGGTAATTTGGCCAGGTGTGTGGCCTCGGGGAGAGAGGTCCGTCAGTAGTCAGGAGCAGGCGTGAAGAAAGCCCGTATTATTCTCCCCCGGTGGCTGCTCCCCAGTCGGGTCTTGGGGTGGGGGTGGGGGCTCCTCCAGGAAGCGAATCTGCTGCGGAAACTCGAGAGACCAGTGACTCGGCAGGAGAAGATGGCGACCGTGTGGGATGAGGCTGAGGTGCGCGTAACGAGGGCTGGGGGTCTTGGAGCCGGGGCCAGCGGGGAGAAGCCTTTGGCGGGAGGGGAGGCGATGGCGCGGGGTCAAGGTCAGGTCGGGTCCTGCGATCGTTGCCGCTTGGGATGTGGGCAGAGGTCCTGACTTACCCATTTTGGTTTCATGGATGGAGAAACTGAGGCTCAGAGCGGGCGGTGGGATGACCGCCCTGAGTTAAAATTAAAAAAAAAAAGGTTGGTTTTTTTTTTTTTTTTTTTTTTAAACAGCAAGATGGAATCGGGGAGGAGGTGCTCAAGATGTCCACAGAAGAGATCATCCAGCGCACACGACTGCTGGACAGTGAGATCAAGGTGGGCCCAGAACCCCTGTGGCGGGCAGTGGAGACCTCCACAGGGCAGATCTTGGTGATTCTGGCCGCCCCTTTCACCTTGTTCTCAGCCTCCCTGGGGGAGGCATGGGGACTGCGAATTCCTCCTCCCAACCAGGAAAAGAGAACAGAAAACTAAGCCTTGCAAGTAACCAGAGCCGGGGCAGGGTCGTGGGAGAGCAGACCTGAGAGGCATTACCAGACTGCCTCCCAGTGAGGTGTTTAAGTCTTCCTCTGGAGAATCCTTTTGTTTTTTATTTTTTTTAAAAAAAAGATTTATTTATTTATTTATACAAGCACTGGTACAGTCAGAAGCGTGGGAGGATGAGAGAATTCACCAGAGCCAGAGCTGGGAACAGAACAGACTGACGAAAAACATTGCTGAGGGGAGCAGCAGGCGGGGCAGGAAAGGTCTATTGGGCCATGTGGGACCCTCGCGGGCAGCTAGGGATCGAACCCGTGCTGCAGAGGCTGCGGGCAGCTTCACAGCCCAGTGCTCAACCGCTGTGCCACCAGGGGAGGCCCTGGAGAATCCTTTTAGAAAATTTCCAACTTAAATATGAGGACACTGAGGCTCAGAGGGTACTCCGTGAAGTACATAACCCTTAATTAAGAGACAGATTCCAACACCTATATTTGCTTCATTTGAAGTCCTGCTTTTTCCTTTATGACAACTTCACTAGGAAGTTTCCAAACTGGTCTCCTGTTTAGTCTTCTGCTGGATGTGGATAGGGTCAGGTTCAGAGTATCTTAGAGCTGTGAACAGATGCTGGAGGGGCCCCTGGGTAGCCTGGAGCTCACCCACTGCAAAGCTGTAGGATAAAAAGCTGTTGGATGTTTGATATCTCATCCCAGATCATGAAGAGTGAAGTGTTGCGAGTCACTCATGAACTCCAGGCCATGAAGGACAAGATCAAAGAGAACAGTGAGAAAATCAAAGTGAACAAGACTCTGCCATACCTCGTCTCCAACGTCATCGAGGTGTGTGTGTATGTGGAGGGGAAGAGAGGGGATCATCAGGACTTGGAGACAACCTGGCATGGGACCATTGGGGAAAGAGTGGGTGGAAGTTTTGAGGCTCATGTTGCATGATAGAGGTTATACCTTTAGGCTCCCTCCTCAGTTTGCATTTCCAGGAGGATAGATAGGGCTTGGAAATGAAAAGGTGTCAGACATCTCACATCTCCTTTTCCACTAGTTTATCCTTCCCTGGTAGATGAGCCCAGTTTAGAGAAGCAACACCTAAATAAATGTTAACGGTTCCCTTGCTGTGCCCAGAGCTAGTCTGAGGAATAAAGTTGGGGTGATCTGCCCTGCACAAGGGGATTGTCTTGGCCCCAGAATCATTGGGCACAATGGAGTTTAAGGGGGTGAGCAAGGCCTTTTGATCTGAACTTTTTCCCTTCTCAGCTTCTGGATGTTGATCCCAATGACCAAGAAGAGGATGGTGCCAATATTGACCTGGATTCCCAGAGGAAGGGCAAGTGTGCAGTGATCAAAACCTCTACACGACAGGTGAGACCGGGGAGGTTGAGGGCGAATGTGGGACTTGACTAGGAAGTCTTGTGGGGGGCAGTAACTGAGGTTGAACTTGGAATCTTTCCTACAGACATACTTCCTGCCTGTGATTGGGTTGGTAGATGCTGAAAAACTGAAGCCAGGAGACTTGGTGGTGAGTGGTGCCCTCTCGCCCAGGCAGGGCTTTTCCAGTGAGGTTTCTCTCACTGACCTCAACTGAGAAACCTCACTGACCTCAACTCAGAAACCTCAACTGAGGTTTTTCTCAGTTGAGCCCTTGCCCCAGACCTAGGTTACTCTGTTGGCTGTTAATCTTGACAGAACAGTCCAAAGAGTCTGAGATCCTGTCTACCTGCTCTCTCTCTCTCTTTTTTTTTTTTTTTAAGATTTTTATTTATTTAAACAAGAACCGGGGTATAGGTTAGATGCACAGGAGGGTGAGAGGATTCACCAGAGATAGAGCGGGGAACAGAACAGGCAGACTAATGAAATACACTGCTGAGGGGAGCAGCAGGCGAGACAGGAGAGGTCTGCCGTGCCATGTGGGACCCTCGCCGGCCAGCTGGGGTTGAACCCATGCTGCAGAGGCTGTGGACAGCTTCACAGCGCTGTGCTCAACCTCCTGCGCCACCAGGGGAGGCCGTACCTGTTCTCTTATTCTTCCGTTACCCAGTCTTACATCTTGTCTTTCACTCTACAGACACCTGTTACCCAGCCAATTAGGTAGGCCTTGATCTGGGACAAATCTGAAGGCTTCCTATTGTGTCCTCAGGGTGTGAACAAAGATTCCTATCTGATACTGGAGACTCTGCCCACAGAGTATGACTCAAGAGTGAAGGCCATGGAGGTGGATGAGAGGCCCACAGAGCAATACAGTGACATCGGGGGCCTGGACAAGCAGATTCAGGAGGTGAGGGAAGGCGTGGCAGCCACCAGCAGGCTCCCCAGCCTTTTGTGCTTCTCTAGTTGGTTAACCAGAGCTCTTCTCCCTAATGTGCTTTTTCTCCTTATAGCATCTGAGGGAGGCAAAGCAGGTGTGGTTTAACAGTTTAGGACACTGAGGTCCTGAGAGACTGAATGATTTGCCCAGAGTCACAGAAAGTCAGGGCCAGAACCAGGAGTGGAACTTTGGCTCCTTGTTCTTGGCCCAGTATCTTCCCACCATACACTGCTGTTCCTGGTGAGACCATAGCCTGCCCTGCTGGGAGTGAGTGTTCAGCGTCCTGTGACTTTTTCATGTGGTGGAAGGAGAGGACAGAGTCCCTGAATTGGAGTAGGAGGGTTGCAGTTGAAGCCCTTAATGGTGGGGCTGTAGGAGCCCTCAGGGCTTTACTCTCCTCACCTAGGCCTTCTTCCTGTCAGCTGGTGGAGGCCATTGTCCTGCCAATGAACCACAAGGAAAAGTTTGAGAACTTGGGAATCCAACCTCCAAAAGGGGTGCTGATGTATGGGCCCCCAGGCACGGGCAAGACCCTGCTGGCTCGAGCCTGTGCTGCACAGACCAAGGTGAGTGGATGGATGAGGCGGAGGTGGGTGGGCGCTAAAGTTCAAAGGGGCTTCCTGGTACCTTTGGCCTGACTGTCCCACCCCCCAGGCCACCTTCCTGAAGCTGGCTGGCCCACAGCTGGTACAGATGTTCATTGGGGATGGTGCTAAGCTGGTCCGAGACGCCTTTGCCCTGGCCAAGGAGAAAGCGCCATCCATCATCTTCATTGATGAACTGGACGCCATTGGCACCAAGCGGTAAGGGAATGTGTTCCAGTGCCCTCTTACCTCTGGGCCGGGGTGGTTGTACCTTTGTGGGTGTGCCTCTGAAATTCTCTTTGGACTAGCTACCCTGATTCTTTTTCCCTGACCATCTTTCCCCTGATTTTCTTCTTCCCTGACCATCTTTTCTTCTCGCAGCTGCCAGCATATTCCTCTCAGAACATGGTTGTATGACTCAAATGCACTCACGGTGCCTCCCTTAAATAGATGTTATGTCAAACCCTTCCTGGGCCGCCTCATCACTCTTTGGGATGAATGCTGATCTTGCCATGGCCTTCAAGGCTCCCCATTTGTCCCCTCCCCACCTCTCACAGCGTCCCCTCTGTGTGCAGGCCCACCCTGGCTCTGGTGGGGAAGGCTTCGAACCTGCTCTTCTCTCTCTAGAATGTGCTTTTCCTTTCTCCTCTTCTTCATTGGCTAGTTGCCTAGCCAGTGTGTTTTCAGCCTTCAGGTGAGGGGTACTTCCTTCGGGATGCCTGCCTGGGCTCCCCTTAGGCTCCAAGTGTGCACCAGCTTCCTGTATTTCTAAGCTTTAGTTCAGTTTGCAGTGGCACATTCCTAGGGATAGCCCAGGCAGTGGCTAGTTTTGCTTACTGTTTATCCTCAGCCTGGCACCTCATCCCAACAGCCTTTCCAGTCTGGATGTTGTCATCAACAGCTAGTGACACATTTTCTATGCCTTCCCCCGGCTGGGGTCCCAGGTTGAGCAAGACCTTTCCCTGCCTTTGATGGGTTGGTTTAGGTCCTGGTGGGTAGAGGGGAGGTGTCTGCTGGAGTTGAGACCTCACCAGTGTTTGTGGCCTCCTGTGTGTCTCAGTTTTGACAGTGAGAAGGCTGGGGACCGGGAGGTGCAGAGGACGATGCTGGAACTTTTGAATCAGCTGGATGGGTTCCAGCCCAACACTCAAGTAAAGGTGAGTGTAATCCCCTCACAGATGAAGAAAATGGGGCCTAGAAGTCAGGGGACCTTCTTGGTCATCTAGCTAGTGCCACAGGAATTAGAACTGGGGTTTGTCTTACATCCTCTACCTTTCCCCCTAGACCCTGGGCTGCCTCTCTGCATTTTACGGCCATGACTGTTACCTGTCTGTGAACATGTTCCTCTTCACTGCAAATTGCTACTGTTCTCCTCGCTCAGGTCATTGCAGCCACTAACAGGGTGGACATCCTGGACCCCGCCTTACTCCGCTCAGGCCGCCTGGACCGCAAGATCGAGTTCCCCATGCCCAATGAGGAGGCCCGGGCTAGAATCATGCAGATCCACTCCCGAAAGATGAACGTCAGGTGGGCAAGCGCACACACGAGGCACTGAAACCTGGGGGCAGCAGCAGAGTGGTCTCCATCTTTCCTCTTTGCACTGAGCTCCCCAGGCCTACAGTCATCCTTTCTATTTTCATTCACGTAGCACTATTCCTTACGCCTGTCTCCCTTTCTCCCCAGCTGCCTGAGATTGCATCTTGCTGGGGTTCAGACCCTAACTCTGAGTGCACTCCTCTGAGTCCTCCCGCTCCCTCCTATCCCAAGATCACAAGGTGCAAATGCCACAGACCCTGTTTTTGGGTACCCTCTCCCTACCCAGCAGATGAGCGCAACCCAATCTGGCCTGGGGCAGTCCAGCCAGATGGACCTGCTTTTAAATCTCTGTGACCTTCAGCAGGTGGCATGACCTCTCTACGCCTCTTTTCTTCTGGACTTTAGGGGCAGTGGCACGGCCTTGGAGTTGTAGCAATATTAACTACAGTGCTTGGCACATGAGACTAAGTGGCAGTGGCAGTGCCAGGTTGATGCAGCGCTCTGCTGCCTGGGAGATAGAAACACTCAAATGTCTTCCCAACCTCCTCCTCCGTCTTGAGCTAAATCCTTTCGTCACGTCTCAGGTGCAGATTTTTGGAAAGTTAGAGCTCGAGAGACGCTAGAAATGACTTGGTCTCACCTGCCTTGACCGATTGCTCTTGCCCTGCATCTTGTACCGATAAGAGAACAAGGCACCAGTTGGCAGTGTTGCAGAGTGGGGATCGTGAGAGGACAGCTCCTCCTGCCCCTCCCCGTGAGTAACTGAGCCCTGTGGTTTCCATTCTCCCCAGTCCTGATGTGAATTACGAGGAGCTGGCCCGCTGTACGGATGACTTCAACGGGGCCCAGTGCAAAGCTGTGTGTGTGGAGGCGGTGAGTGTTGGAATGAGGGGGCGTTCATGCTTTTTTGCCCTCCTTCCTGGATAGGACAAGGGTGTTCGGCTGTGGGGAACCTGTTGATGGGAACACAATGAGAGGGCTGAGTCTGGCTGGGTATGGGGAGCACACTAGAGCCTTTCTGTTCTGGGTGCAGGGCATGATTGCACTACGCAGGGGCGCCACGGAGCTGACCCACGAGGATTACATGGAGGGCATACTGGAGGTGCAGGCCAAGAAGAAAGCCAACCTGCAGTACTATGCCTAGGGGGCGCCATCACCTACTTCTTGGCCTCATGCTTGAAATTGGAAATAAAAGATGCTTTCTGGACCCTGCCACCATGTCTACCTGGCCTCCCCTTGGTTCTGGTTGGAGGGACGGGGGCATATGAAGGAGGCCCCTTCCATAGGTGCTGCTGCCTGCAAATGAGCCATTCATAGGCCTCGAACCAGTTGTCAGGACAGGGCCTCCTGGGAGGGTTGCACCGTAGCTGTTGCTCACGTCTTCTGGCCTCCCTACTCCCTGCCTTGCCTTTGCTCTTAGAGGCTTGTGGTCCTGCAGCTCAGGAATGATGGGCCTTTTAAAACTCTGGACCCTGAGCCTTCTGTTTCTCCACATTTCCCTTTAGCTCATTTGGCCCACTTCTCCCGGCTGAAAAGTGGAACCTTGGGCCATATCCACTCAGAGCTCTTTCAGGTCACTCTGTGGTCATGCTGTGTCTCCCACACCTCCGTGCAGCCAGTCTACTCCCCTCTACCCTGTCAGGCCCATATCCCCGTCGCAGGTCTCTGTAGGATCTCGCTGATCTCCCCCAACTTTCTGCTTCCTTCATCTGACCCATATGGATACCATTTGTTGCATGCTGACCTTTTCTGTGCTATTGGGTGTAGTACATAATTTTATCTAGTTATGTGTCTTTACCAATAGGGTAACCTCATTTTCAGATGTGTTTAAGCAGCTGGGCTACGGTTGTACAATTTTTTTTAAAGATTTATTTATTTATGCATACAAGAGCTGAGGTACAGGCCAGAGGTGCAGGGGGTGAGAGGACTCACCAGAGACAGAGCGGGGAACAGAACAGGCAGACGGACTGAAATACACTGCTAAGGGGAGCAGCGGGCGAGACAGGAGAGGTCTGCTGCATCATGTGTCTTGCTCCCTGGCTGGTCGGGGATTGAACTCGTGCTGCAGAGGCTGTGGATTGCTTCATAGTGTGGTGCTTAACACCTTGCGCCACCAGGGAGGCCGCAACTTTTTTTTTTTTAAGGTTTATTTTTATTCATGCATACAAGAACGGGGGTGTAGGCCAAGGGTGTATGTGTGGGGGAAGATTCACCGGAGACAGAGTAAGGAGAACAGGTGGACTGACTGAAAGACATTGCCATGGGGAGCAGCGGGCAAGACAGGAGAGGTCTGCTGCGCCCTGTGGGTTAGTTCGCTCCCTGGCCGGGGATTGAACTCATGCTGCAGTGGCTGCCGAGAGCTTCATAGTGCTGAGGCTTACTTAATCTCTTGTGCCACCAGGGAGGCCCAGTTGTACAACTCTTAGCTGGCATAGCTGGATTCAAATCCGGGATGGAGAGAGGTCTCCTCTCCACTCTGGTTCCTTCCCCATGGCACCTTGATTGGCCTTTCTAAGTAGCAGCTCTTGAAAACTCTCCTCAGCTCGCTCTTGCTGTCTGGCCAGAGCTCCTGCATCCTCCTCTCCCCTGCCCGCCGGGGACATGCCCGTGGCGAGCTGCCTGTGGGGCTGGCTCTTTGCCAGCTTATCCCCTCCCCTCTAGTGCCACTGCCCTCCCGAGTGTCCTTGTATACTTCTCTGCGCCGCAGTCCCATTCACTTCCCACCCCTCTGCCCAAGGAGCCCTCAGCACAGCCTCTGAAGTGCTTCTGGTCCTGTCTCCTGTCCAGGGCTCCTTCACCATCAGGCCTGTATTTTTGTTTCATCTTCAAACCAGTTTGGGCATTCACCTGGCTGTAGCACCTGAGTGAACTTGGCTTCCTCACCTATAAGAGGAGATCCCACTGCCTCCCTCAGCAGACCGAGTGCGATGATCACAAGGTGCCTCTCTGCCATTTGGCATGGGCTCACGGCCAGGCACTGCCCAGGGAAGGGTGGGGACTGGCGAGGTAGCCCTGGCTTCCTTTCTTCTTGTCAGGGCCAGACTCACCAGGCCCTTGAGGCATATGTCCCTTGAGGAATATGTCATAGCCAAGTGAAGCAGATCGTGTTTTGCTAATAAAAATACTGAGCCAGGCATCCCAGCTGAAGCAGCAGCTGGTTTTGGCTTCACAGACCCTTTACCAGACCCCATGACTGCGCAGATTTGCTGCTCTCTACTGGAGGTGAAGGGGAACTTCCATTCTCCCCCACATCTGCTTTCTCCTGATAGCACTGGAGAAGCAGCGTCCCCCGTGTCCAGTGCCATCTTCACATCCTAGGGGTGTGTGGTTTAGCGGGATCTGCATTTTTTCCTTTTTAAAGAAAAATAAGTACATTTCTCTGAGGCCAAACCCAGGTAGGGCTCCGGACAGGGCTGCTCTATTCCTTGATTACATCTCTGGGCAGCAGGGGAAGAGTCCCCTGGCAAGGTGGGCTACAATGGCATGGTGCTGGGCAACAGCAGATGAAGCCAGGGAAACGTGAAGGGCTATACCCAATTCCGAGGAACACTGAGGGTCACAGCATGAAGCAGAAGGGGTGGGGGTGGGGGGAGGAGCTGGGGCCCAAGGAGCAGCCATGCTGGCCAGAGCACAGAGGCATGGGACGGCCCAGCTTGACCAGGGGCTCTGCTGTACAGAACAGAAGCAGCCAGTTTGGGCATAATATTTATTTGCATCTATTTATAGAATAGGTATTTACAGATACAAACGGAACCACAGCAAAACTGCTGTAAAACCATTCGGACCCTCTTGATGGCCACGTCACAGAATGTCCAGTCGAGCAGCAGGGCCAGAGCCTGGCTGTGGAGCAGGCCAGCTGAGTACCTGGGCGTCAGCCAAGGGAAATAGCTGGGGATTATGGCTTCAGCATTCTCCCAGAGCACATTCCTGAGTGCTGACCTTGTGGAGTCCTCCCTGCCCCTGCCTTCCCCCTACCCGCAATGGGGCAGGCAAAGGGGCCCTGAGCAGGGAAGGGCAGTCAGGGCACCCCTTTTGTCCCCAGAGTATCTGCCGGGGCCCTGAGCTGGCTGGAGCATCACTGGGCTGGACCAGAAGGCCTCTGGCCAGGTGCTGCTCCCTGCTCTGCAGGCTGCTGTTTGGCAGCTGGAGGTGGCAAGAGCTGCTGGTGCTGCCAGGGAGCATTCACTAGGGCACGGGAGCTACTCAGGCAGCAGCTATGAGAAGAAGGTCTCAGCATCTCCCAGCTCTGTGCCGGGAAGGGCAGGACTGTTAGTGCTGAGTGGGGCTGTGGGCTCCACAAGCACTTGCCTCTCCTTTCTTTGGCCTTAGAGCTGACGAAGGGCAGGCCAGGATGACAGACACAGAAGATGCCCCCGGTTCCTCGCTACCCAGGGCCGGGTCATGAACAGAGGTTTACTCTGACCAGGGACCCATGAGGCCCCAGCAGGGGGCTCGCCGCAGCCCCGGACTCCTGGGCTGCTCTCATTCCCCCTTAGAGTCCTGGAGGGGAGAGGCCTCTGCAGAGGACTTGTGCTTCTGTTCCTCACTGCTCACTTCGGGAGGTGCAAGATGACGGGACGGACGGCAAGGAGAGACGACCACAGTGTGGCTGGGGTGGGCACTGGGATCACAGTGTCGGTCTGCGTACACAAGCACACACACTCCGTCCTCTCGTCTGGTCGGAGCTTGCTCTCAGGCAAGCTCTCGGCCCTCTACCACGCACGCATGTATTCATGCACGCACGCACGCACGCACGCATGGTCACAGAGCGAATCCGAGTCTTATTGCTGTGCAGGGGTGGGGCGTCAGGGAGGGTTACTCCACGAAGAGCGAGAACAGCACCATCACCACAATGCCCGTGCAGAGCAGAAGCACTTGCTGAAGGGAGTGCCTGTGGGGAGAGGGACTGGGTTCAGCAGGTGGCACTGATAGGGAGGGCAGAGAAGTTGGAAACTCCCTTGAGCCCCTAAGGGGGTGGCAGTCGCAGTGCGTCACTCACCACGGGTCATCTTCCTCCAGGAGGTCAGGCAGCACGTTCACCAAGGCGATATAGAGAAAACCCCCGGAGGTGAAGGGCAGAATCCAGGCCACAGTCTCCTCTGCAGTGGGAGGAGAAGGCTGACTGCCTGGGAGCCCAGGGCACCTGGTGACCGCACCCCCTCCCACAAGGGTAGTGGGGCAGAACCCAGCCTGGATACCAGGGGCGGGGCGGCCATGCCCCTTGGCTGGGCCCTTCTGCTGAACACCACCTGCCGCCACCACCCACCACGCCCGTACCTACTCCCTTGGGGGACTGTGTACAGATGGCGAAGCAGGCACCCAGCAGGCCCCCCAGGGCAGTCGAGAGCTGCAGCTTGGCTGCGCTCCATCGGTCAAAGCCGGCCCGGAGCAGGATGGCAAAGTCGCCCACCTGAGGGGAGGTCCAGATGATCATGCTGGGCCCCCGAGGGACCAGAGGCCCTGAACACCGCCAGTGTGGACACGCACACCAAGCCCCCCGCACCAGCCCTGCCGCTGGGCCCCCTAGGCAGCATCCCCTTGACTGAGTTCCCAGTCACTAGGCTGGAGCGTGTCTGACAGTGGCTGCAGCCTGAGGGGCTGAGTAACTCCAGCCCCCACAATCTAGCCCCTGAGCCTGCCCCTGCTGGGCAGTCCCCCCAACCCCTGCCCTAGGCCCACACTGCTGACCTTGGGACCCCTCCCACGCTCACCTCGTGGGGGATCTCATGCAGGAGGATGGCCATGGTGGTCAGGAGCCCAATCTGCAGGGAGGTAAATCTGGGGGTCTGCGCCAGGGCCAGGGCACTCGTCCACTCATTCTACAAATGTTTGTTGAGTGCTCTGGCTGACAGTGTTAGGCCACTAAAACTAGCAGGAGTGACTAAAGGGGACAAGCTAGCAGCCCTCATGAATCTCAGTCTGGAGAAGAGAGGCCAGGGTTGCGGACACGCAGCCATGTGCTCACACCGACAGGTGCTGGGAGCAACGGGTGCCTCACTAGATGAGGGGTAAGCGAGGCCTCTGGACATGCATTCAAGTGGTTCAAAGAGTGAGAGGAAGAACATTCTTGGCAGAGGGAAGAGTGAGGTGGAGGCTATGAGGGGTAAAGAGCTTAGTGAGTTTAAGAGCAGGCAGGCCAAGGGGGCAGGGTGAGGAGGTGAAGAACAAGCACCTAGAAGGAGGCAAAGGCCTAGCTTAGTGGCCTGGCAGAGGCATGCGATCCCAACAAGGGGTATTTGCACCAAGAAGCAGAAAGACTGGAGAGGTGTGGCAGAGGTTGCACGGGCATCATTCCTACTGGGGCTGTTGGGGCTCACCTGCCCACCTCCACTCACCTTTTTGCTCACAAGGAAGCTGGCCGCCACAGCCAGCCCATGGGTGAAGTTGTCTATGGTGTTGGCCAGCAGGTTGAGATAGCCACTGACCTGGGAGGGGGAGAGAGAGCTGGGCCGAGCTGGCTGGGCAGGGCTGAGCCCGGCTGGCCACTTGGGGTGGGGCAGCTGCAGAAGAAGGGGGCCCTGAGTGGGCCACTCACTTTGATGGTCCGGACCACGGCGCTCAGGCCGGGTTCTGCCGCCGGCTGGGCCATATAGCGGCCTCCATGGAGCACGGCAGCAGCAGTGGGGTCTTTGGTGGGGGCCTAGGGCCAGGAGAAGGAGGGAGAAGTGACATTAGATGCCCCCCACTTGGCCAGGGTAGATGCAGGCAGGGGTGAGTGATGCAGCAGTGAGTGAACAGGCACATCCCTTTCATCTGGCTAGACTTCACCGCCTGGTCAGCCAGGGACCCCAAACTCAACAGCTCCTCCACCCCTCACACATCTGTAACTCTCAGTCTGTGAGAACAACTCCCAACAAGTGCTGAGGCTGTCACTCCCTAGACCCTCCCAAACATGCTGGCCCAGCCGCCCAGAGCTCAAGAAAAGGGCTAAGGAATCTGCTTTTCAGGTCTCAGAGCCTCGGCCTCCAGGCCCTGGAACCACCACAGAGCAGAGGCTGACTGGCCCAGGCCCTGGGGGGCTGGGGCTCACCTGACTGGTCCCCTCCTCCTTGCTGTCCAGGAACATCTTCTCCAATGCCAGGAAGGTCAGGAAGCCGGCAATGACCCACAGCCCCAGCTGCTGTTGCTGCTGCAGGCTCTGTCCCTCACCACCTGCAGGGGGGCAGCGTTGCCAGGCCAAGGCAGGCCCATAGAAGGGGGGCAATTTGCAATAGGACCTAGTCCAGGGTAGTGACAGGGGCAGGCACCAGGACAAGTTCCCTGCCCTAATCCCGTAACCCTTCTCCCAAACATTCTGGCAGAGCAGACGGGGCCTAGGCCCTCCCAGGGCACAGGCACCAGCTTCTACCTTCCTTGCCCCTGCCCGCAGCCTCACTCACCAGGGCTGGCGCTGCACGTGTAGGCCCATGCCTCTGGCAGCAGGTGGAGAAACACATTTCCCAGGAGTCCCCCCAAGGCAAAGCTGAGCAGCTGCTTCAGGCGCCGGGCCCCAGCTATAAGGCAGAGATGAGGAGCTTGAGGACTAAGTCACCAGAGCCCCTGGCCCCACTTCTGCCCGATTCGGCTTTCTGGGCTCTCTGTGTTGTCCCAGGCAGACCACAAATGTCTGGAAGGCTAGACACAGATGACGGTCCTTTACAGATCCCCCAGGCCCAGCAGGGGCTGGATGCTTGGCAGGAACACACCGCAACCTGCTGGATGACTGTGGAACCACCACCACTTCATGGTTAAGACACTGGCCACAGGTGCCAGCTCCCCAACCCACCAGTTGGTAACCTCAGGCAGAGAACCAAGACTCAGTTTTTCCATATGTAAACTGATAGGGACCCTGCGGGATTTAAGTAACGATATATATAACAAATGCTCCCCAAGAGAGAAATTTTATCTTCTCAGCCAATTCCTCAGAAAGTGGCCGGGATTTGGGGAATTGGCAGACTTGCAGCATCCAGAGTTGAAAATGGCTTGAGGGCCATGTCCTGACCCTGCATTTGATAGAGGAACTGAGGCCCAGAGAGCAAAGCAGCTTGATAGTGGGGTGGGACCCCACTATTTTTAGCAGCCCCCCATCTGATCTTATTTCTCTGTCTCGAGGGCTTGTGATATGCGCAGGTATGAAAGGGTAGCCAAGGAAATGCCTCCGCCCAAACTCTGCCCTGGGTCCCAGGGAAGCTGCTGCTTTGAGGCTGTATGACACTGGGATGGTCACAGACCCCCTCTGCCTGTGCTTCTCCATTTGTAAAATAGGGCTAATAATCCAGTGCCCTCCATTGACCCAGCAGGGGTGCTACAAGAGGGGCTGAGTTGATGCACAGGGGACAGCAGGGCCCACAGGCTCTGTCCACAACTGTGGCACCAGCCCTCAGCCTGGTGCCTGGCACAGGCGTGTCTGTAGCCATCTGCTGAATAAACAGTGCCTCAGCCTGGAAGGTGGCACATGCCTGGGGAGTATGCACATGCTTCCAACAGATTCCTGGGGCTCTGATCCAGGCTTACTAGGTCATATTCTAGGGTGGGGTGACAGGCATCTGCATTTTTAGCAGCCCCCCATCTGATCTTCTTTATTTCTCTGTCTCGAGGGCTTGTGATGTGCACAGGTATGAAAGGGTAGCCAAGGAAATGCCTCCGCCCAAACTCTGCCCACCTCCCAGATGCCTGTCCAGAGGAGGACCTGCTAAGCGGTGAGGCCAACTCAGGGGTTCTTGATCTGAGAGCTCCTTTGCGCAGTGAGCAGAGACTGAGGGAGAGGCAGTACTTTGCTCGCCATTATACCCCCGTACCCAGCATGAGGCCTGAGAACACAGCCTTGCCCTGTACCAGGCAGTGCTTTAGGATATACATTGATTCAATCTTCACAACAGTACCTGTGAAGTAGATACTATTATTATCCCTGTTTATTAAGGCTGGAAGTCTGAGGCAGAATGAAGTTAACTAATTTGCACATTGCCACCCAGCTGGACCAGGACTTGAACCCAGGCAGCCTGGCATCCATATTTCCACAATTATCTTATATTGTTTCTTGGTCACTGTTTTCTGACTTCTATTCTTCGGAATAAACAAACACATGAACGAACAAACAAATAAGCACGCCACACCTTAGTCACTAGACCAAGATGACAAACTATTCTGTTCCTGTCCACCTGAGACATACTGTAACTCAACTTGAGTTTCCCAGGCTGCTGGCAGGTCCTGGGGTCAGAGGTCACCCACCTTCTGAGCGCAGCATGGTCCCCATCTCCAGGGGAATGACGAGCAGCGGGAAGACCCCACTCAATCCCACCATGAGCGAGCCCAGGAGGGAGCAGATCCAGGTATCCAGTCTCTCTCCACTCAGCAGGGTCCCCCAGGACTCGCTTTCCTTGTTGTCTAGGCGACAGGCTGCTGCAGCCCTCCGGCTCCGGGGGGCCTGCTGGAAACCCCCAGCCCCTCCCAGGAGCTCCAGGGCAAGAGCAGTGAAGAAGAGGAGCCTTTGGCCCGCCATGCCACAGCCAAGGCAGGGACATCCAGGCATACCACGTGCTGAAAAACACAAAGGCCACTTACGTGAGCTGCCACCCTTGGCTGCACACCTTAGGACACGTGGCTTCTCAACCCTCTCTCCCTGCCACCTCCCAGCCACTGCCCCAAGTGTCTGTGACATCCACCTCCTGCTTGCCTTTGCCCAGGGCCTCTGAGGATCCAAATGGTGGGTGCCCAGTGCGAAGGGGCTCTGCTCCGCCACGCCCCACTTCCAAGGACCACGCATTTTTTCCTTCTGAGCCGGCTCCAGACTGTGTGTCAGCCTGTCCGCCTGAGGCTAAACTTTCCTTAATGACAGGGTGAGGCGCTGGCTGGGTTCCCCTCAGCCACCGGCGGGCCCAGCCCAGCCGGGTGTCTCTGGCTGCCAGGGAAGTCTGCCACCAGGCTGTGCCTGGCTGAGGATACCCTAGGGACTAGGGATGGAGGCTGGCACTATCTAGCTTGATGGCATGACAGCAGAAGGTGCAGATGGGGCAACCAAGCAGCTAAGACTGGGCCATTAGAGCTTCTTCCTAGGAAATGAGACCAATGTCCCAGGGGCAGGAGGCAGACAGGAGGTGGGGCTGAAGTGAAAGGAGCCGGAGGCTAGGAGGGGCCTCACACCCCAAGAGCAGAGGCTTTGAAGATCTGCCCCTAACTTTGAGGGCAAGTCCTTGAAGGCTGTCTCTGATCCTCAGTTTCCTCAGCTGTAGGATAAAGATAAGTACAGACTCCCTCACACAGTCGTGAAGGGGGGCTGAGACTGTGCAGGCGGTGCCCATGCCCGGCACCAGCAGTACAGGGAGCCCTCCTTTTGCTGAAGGAGGCCGGGAGCCCAGGGATGCAGGGAGCCCAGGGAAGCAGGAAGGTATCCAGTCGGAGGGTCACAGGGGATGTGAGTCAACCAAGCAGAAGTTCCAGATGGAAACTTGGACATGAAGTTTAAATGTGGTCTGCCCTGGCTCATGCTGGCCGTGACCTTGACGTGGTGATGTCTCTGCCTCAGTTTCCTCTTGCTGATGGGCGGGTGGGTGGGGTGGAAAAGATACCCACGTCTAAGCTCCCGAGGCCTTAACGTGCGACCTGATGAAACCGACTGGGCTCCTCTGGGGACCCAGGGCAGGACGGGGTCAGTCTGGGCTTGGAGGCCTCAGTGGGTCTCGCGAAGACCCGGGTTTGGGAGCGCGGGAGGGGCGCGGGCGAGTCAGAGGAGAGGGCAGGGAACAGGCAAGAAGCGCGGGTCAAGAGACTAGGAAAAAGTGGGAGCGCCCGACGCGGAGGGGGCAGCGAGGGCGAGACGGGGGCGGCGTGAGGGGCGCCAGGGAGCGGGGCCCGTGGAGGTTTCACTCCCCGGCTCTGGGCCCGAGACCCAGGTCGGCCCGGGCGGAGCGGGATGGGGTCAGCTGGGTCCTCCCCGCCGGGGGCGCGGGCCCCGAGGGTCGGCACTCACCGAGCGGCAGCGGCGGCGGCGCTCCGGGCGGCCCCGGCCATCCAGCTGCGACACCTCGCCCCGCCCCGGGCCTGCCCCGCCCGGCCCGGCCCGGCCGCCCGGCCCCCGGCCCGGAGCCGCCCCCGGCGTGCGGCCACGTCACACGGGACCCGTCCGGAACCCCGCGCGCCGCGCGCCGGGGGTCGGGGGGAGCGGTGGTCGGTGCGCGCTTCCGCCTGGCGGCCAAGGGGGACCGGGCGGCCGGCGCACTTCCGCTCGGGCCGGAGGGGGCCGGAGGGGGCCGGTGGGGGCGGCCGGACGGAAGTGAGGGCCCCAACAGCGCCGCGCTCGCCCTGGCGGGGTGGGGGCGGGACGGGAGCGGGGAGGCGGCCCCGCGGGGAACGAGAGCGGCCGGACCGCGGGGCTTGCGGGTCTGGCTCCGCTTCCTGGCTCGGGCTGCAGTGTCGCCCCCGGCCTCACGGGGGCGCGCTCGGCTGCCAGACGGCGCTCGGCTGCGGGGGGCGGGGGGTTCTGCGAGGCTCCTGCTTTGAGTCAGCCGGGCCCGGCTACTCCATGAGCAAGGGAAAGGGGAAGTGCCTGCCGCAGGGAGGGGCCTGGCCTCGGGAACCTCAGAAGAGGGAATTTTATTCTTACTCATCGAATTATTTTTATGCTTTGGTTTTTTTTCACTGGGAACCTCAGGCCGTTGTCTCCAGGGCTTGTAACCCTTTGGGGTCCAGGGCTTGGTGGCTTGACAGGGCTGGTTGGAACTCCAAACCAGGGGGAGCCAGAGTTCTGGGCGCCCCTTCCCTGGAGGTGGCTAGGCCTGACCTCTCACACTACGGCAGCAAACAATAACACGGTTATCATAACACCATTATGTGCCGTTCACGGGCATTGGCTCATTGACTCCTCACTCTGCACCCTCGAGGTGGGTACTGTTAGCCCAGGGTCACATAGTAGCACAGACCGCAGAGCCAGGGTTCAGACCTGGGAGTCCCCGAATCCAAGCATGTGAGACCCCTTCTCACTTCTAAGGTGTTGGGAGTCTGACTTGGCCTTCCACTTTGCACCCTTCTCTGGGACTGGAATATTCAGGAAGGGGCATGTGGGGTACTCATTTGGGGAGTGATTATCACTGGGTGGGGGGTTTCCAAACCTCTGGCCCTCACCTGCCTTTAGGGGACCTCTCTTCCTCTGTCCTGAATTGCTTCTTTCCTACTGGGGCTCTGAGGGCACATTTGCTCAGCTCTCATGTGCTGCATGCAGTGTTCTGTCCACCTCACGCTCCATTATCAGGCATCACTAGACCCCCCAACTCTTCCCAGGTAGGACCAACTTTCCCAGAAAGCCCCCAGTTGACCTGTGCCCCTCCTGAGTTCTGAAGTGGAAGCCCCAATTTATTTCTTTGCAAAGAGAGGAAGACACTGGGGAATGCTGCTCTGGGACCGCTAAGATATCCCTCCCCTCCCACCTATGCAAATCACTCCATCCCATGCAAAGCACTTCACAATATACAAATGATTTCACAATAACACTGTCAATATTCCCCCCTCTGGGGGCAAGGGGAGGCAAGACCCAGCCAGAAACTCCACTTGCTGCCTTTCGCTGCCCTTTCTTCCCTCCTGGTCTGGAATTTCCATCATCAGATTTCCTAATGAATTAAAAAAACAAGTGCATTGAAGGTGGGAAGGAGACTAGAAGATGACTGCTAGCAGGGAGGCAAGGTGGGCAGACTAATGTGTGGCTCAAAGCCAATTAGATATGAGATTCACAGATGTTTATTTCTTTTGAGTCACTTTTATTGAAGGGATGACAAGTTGGAGATTTGAACCAGGCAAGTGACAAAGGGATCACTCCCAAGCTCCTGTAACACCCTTTCTCCTAATGTGAGCCACACATTAGTCTGCCCACCTTGCCCTCCCTGCTCGTGGTCAACTTCCTAAAGGGAGTTGGGATTTTTATGGGATTATTGCTGTTTGGACAGGGTGGAACAGGGTGGACCATCTGGAATCATGGTGTCGTGGACACTATAGTTACATGGCCAGACTGCGTGCTACAGGGGTCGAATGTTCAAAAAATGGCAACCAAGACCCCCTTAGTGGTAGAGGGTATTACTATGTAAATGACCCTAAGGTGAGGTTAGGTCATCTAGGGGCTTTTCTTTGCGGGTTGGTTTAACTAGTTTGGGCAGGAATGAATGTCCAACCTTTAACTAAATAGCACTAAATAAGCATTAGGGGTTTTGCACATTTGCTCTGTAAACCTTCTGGGTAACAGCAGATGTACATGTGACTATAGACACTGGCAGTCTGTATAAGTCTACGTATAATTATGAGTAAATAAAAAATATAGAAGATCACACATTAAGGTGAAAACATGGATTCCCTGGTGGGAGTAGGAAAAAGTGAAAAAAAAAAAAAAGGAAAATTAAAAACACATTTCAACATGTATTTGAACATATTTATGCAATTTGGTTAAGACGACCAGATTCTGATACCAGAATTCCTGTGCCTTAATTTCATCTGTAAAGTGGGTTACCGCGTGGGACTGTTGTGAGGATTTAATAAATGAATACACACAAAGCACTTAGAACTGTGCCTGGCATGTGGGGAGGCTTCTATTTAAGCATTATATGTGCTTAAATACGTGGGTATAAAGAAAATGTTAAAGCAATGAAATAAGACACGGAGTGAGTAGGTCTATCTCTCTCCTCTCCTTGTATGTTTTTTGACACATTTTTCTCTTAGTTTGGAGACCTCAGGGACTTCCTGATTAGTGACTCTGGGCAGGCAAACTGGGCAGGATGGGCATGGACACTGCTTGGCTCTGAGTAGCTTGGGGGGTCTGGGATAGGGGCTGGGGTTTGTTTTTTTTAAGATTGATTTATTTATGCATACAAGAACTGGGGTGAAAGTCAGAGGTGGGGGGGTGAGAGAGGATTCACCAGAGACAGAGTGGGGAGCAAAACAGGCAGATGTACTGAAACTCACTGCTGAGGAGAGCAGTGGGTGAGACATGGACAGGTCTGCTGAGTCATGTGGGTAGCTCCCTGGCCACCTGGGGATCAAACTTGTGCTGTAGTGGCTGGCAGTAGCTTGATAGATCTTTCCTTAATCCCTGCGCCACCAGGGAGGCCCATTGTGTTGGGTGTCTTGGGAGCCCTTAGCCTTGTCCCCACCGTACACAGGTCCCTATAGCCCAAGACCAGCTCTGCAGGAGGGCAAATAGGGTGAAATGCCTGTGCATTATGCATGGTCACGGTCATTGGGTCCTTTGCAGAGGTCCCTTTTATTCAGTTTATGTGTTTATTGATACATTTGCTTACTCCTTACCCCTCTGCCATCCCATCTCCCTGTCTCCTTGGGAGAACCTGAACTTTATGGTCTTCAGTCTTTTTTCTTCCTCGTACATGCGCGCGTGCGCGCACACACACACACAGAAGCCTAGGCAATTATCTGTTTCATTTGCCTTTTTTTAATAAGCAAGGAAAAAAAAAACAACCCAAATAATACATCAAAACCGGTTTTGGGGTCTCCCCTGGTGGTGCAGACGGTTAAGCGCAGCGCTGTGAAACTGTCCGCAGCCTCTGCAGCGTGGGTTCGATACCAGCCAGCCGGGGAGAAACCCATATGGCACAGCAGACCTCTCCTGCCGCGCCCGCTGCTCCCCTCAGCAGTGTATTTCGTCAGTCTGCCTGTTCTGTTCCCCGCTCTGTCTCTGGTGAATCCTCTCACCTTCCCGCGCATCTGGCCTATACCCTGATTCTTGTATAAATAAATGTTAAAAAAAAAAAACGGTTTTGATGTTTTCTTTCATATTATTTAGGATTTTGTTTTTTATAATTTTTATATAGGTCCTGCATAACTTAGTAAGTTTAGTTCTAGGTATTGTACATTTGTGTGGATATTTCAAATAGTCTATTTCCCATTACTTTTTTTTTTTTTTTGAGGTTAGATGGTAAATTCTTGAGAGCCTTCCCTCCCAGCCTTCATTCTCTAGTTCACATTTTCCATTTGTGGAGCTTGCGTTCGAGTCCCAGGAAGATGGCCAGGGGCAGGGGCATAGCATGCCGAACAAGGAGATTCGAAAGACGCTTGTCTCTGCCTTCCTCAGACTGCATGGACACAGCTGGCACATCACATCCGGCTCCTGACATAGTGCCTCTGCCGGGGCCAGCTTCTTGGCGTCCTTCTGCCCCTAATTCTCCTGTAGCATCTGGTGTTCCGGAGAGGCCTGCTGCAGACACCGAGCCACCAGCCAGCTGCATTTGTCTTGGATGTCAGTACCAATCTTTCCAGTCACAGTGGGGTCCCCAAAGAGGTCAAGGTAATCATTCTGCACCTGAAAGAATTCTCCCATCTCCACCACGGTCCTTGGCCTTGGTCTGCTCCTGTTCCCCATCAAAGCCTGTCACGTACATGACAGCAGCTACAGGGAGGTAGGAGTGGGAAGCAGTCTCATTGTTGGCAATTGATTATTTGTACCTCTTTTCAGTGAATCTGCCAAGATCCATATTACCCTGGGGAGCTGTGATGAGGTCCGGGGTCTGTCCAATCTCAGGCTGATAGGAATGCTACAGGAGGAGCTCAATCAAGTTCAGGTAATAGGGCTGCTCCAGCAGTAGATTTCAGCAGGTGACACATACATGCTTCCAGAAGCACAGCATCCTTGATGGTATCCAAACCTACACCTGGCTTTTGGTACCAGCTGGGCTGTCGCCATCGGGTGAGGGATGAATCCATGATATCTGACAAGAAAGCCTGGAGCAGGCCCACACACCAGCCCAGTCATGGCACGCTGGAGCCTCCCCACCCTGCCTCTGTGGCTCCACCAGCTCCCGGATTGTATTAGCACATCAAACCCCAATGGTGGTATTTGCCTCTAATAGCGTTGTACCCCAGGATCTCCTTGAGCCAGGCAATAGCATCTCCTGTCTCAGGGTGCCCCAGCTCATCCTCAGTTGGCATTTTGACAATCTGGGAGAGGTACTGGCTGAAATCCTGCTTTCCTTGGGCATAAATATCCAGTTTTTGTCCTAGTTCATTCTGAGGGAGGAGCAAAACGATC